ATTTTAAGCAACCAATATTAGTTAAGAAGACTCCCAATTAGGATTGTAACTTGTCCTCATAAAATTCTGCTATTTTCAAAGAAATCATTTCAATGTCTATTCCTAGTGTTTCAAGAGGGTTCTAAGACTTATGATGACATATAATCGTGTAGGAGCCTAAAGACGAGGATTTATGTAGTAACTAGACAAACAACCTCAGATTCATGTCCCACCGAATGAATTTCAAATCACGTTTAATTGTATTACTGTCACCGATTTTGTTGAGTTTCATACTTTGCTCCGTGTTATGAGTTGTTCGACAATCCTGCAAAATTGACCTAGCATACCCTAATAACATGCAAAGTAATATAAGATGACGTCAACCGCTTGTCTTTAAAAATTGAGTTAGTATAAAATATTTTAATTTTATGAATTAGTTGTTATTTTTATTTATGACAACCCGGTCAAGATGCCCACGGATTTTTGTCGTCTCGATGTTGTCAGATTCCTTGATCCACTTAGTTTGGAGAGGTGGTCAAGCTTACTTAGACCAAAAGTTTCCTGTCAGCAATCATGGGTTACGTCGATCTTCGTAGATCCAGGTAGCAGGGTTAAAGTAGTGTTTGGTGACCTTCATTCATTATGGTTTCATTTAAATTTTAATTTCCTTTTCAGATTATAGGGGTTGAAATTATTTTGTTAGCTTAAGACTTCTTAACCATTTATGTTTTTTTTTTAACTTCATTTTTTATTTTGGTTTTTGAAATGATCTGATCATGATCTCATGGTTCCGTCCTCCCGGGGTCTTTAGGGTTTGTGGTTTGATTAGTCACAAGTGATTGGGGGGGTACTTTGTTAGCAGCCATGAGTTGTCTCATCCAAAGTTCCTTCTCAAACCAGGTTATATTTTTATGGTTGAAATTTAAGTTATAGAGATTTTTAGGGTGAATTCTATATCTTTTGTGTTTATTTGGCTTCTCAACCCAAGTCGTCTCCACAGAGGTTAAGTGTGATTTTGTTCTCTTATGAGAAGTCAAACACTCCTTAACTTTGGGTTACTTAAGTTTGACTTGTATTTAGTCGATTTAAATTAATCTGAATTGGGTTGGATTGATCTAGATTAGTTGAAGTTGATCATGAGTTAACCCAGGTTGGGTCGGGTTATCTCGATCATGCCTGTTGACCTAATTTTTAATGAGGTATAGTTTCTCCTTTTTAGAAGCCTAGGATCTAGCTATAAGACTTTCTTGTTCACTATCCTAGAGAACTAATGAGGAGTCCACTTCCCTTAGAAACTCAAACACTACTTGACACTTCTTGTGAAGTCTCACATGGGTGGTCCTAAGCTCTCATTTCTGACTTAAAATGGTTGAGGCCAACATGTGAAGACTCGAGAATGAATTTAAATAGAATCATTGAGACCTTAGGGCAACCCTAGGTGGCTTCGTTTTGGTCACACACACGCAAACCCATCAAACCCACATTCTCCAAAAGCCCTAAAATCACTCACACTTGACCTACCTCTTGAATCCTTTTTGGAAACTCATGTGGGTGGTCCCAAGCCTTAACCATTAGCTAAGATGGATAGGATCAAAATGTGGTGTGGTGGTTGGTTATTTAAAAGTTTAAATGTGCGAGATATTTTAGGCCTCATTTTCAGAATTAAAATATTATTTTCAAAAAAACAAAATTATATGTATATTAAATTAAAGTCCATTTTCAAAATTAAATTAAGGCGACCGACAATGCCATAGTTGGATTGGACTTGATTATTATTAAGTCATGTTTAAGTTGGATTAAAGTTGAGTTTGATTTAGTTGGATTAGACTTGAGTCTGATTAAGTCAAGTCTAGGTTAGATTAGGCTTGAGCTTGATTTAGTTGGATTAAGTCTAAGTTGGATTAGACTTAAATTCAGTTTGGCGAATTGTGAAGTTGGTTTGAGTCCACCTAGATCAAGTTGGGTTAGCCCAAGGAGAGTTTAGATTGATTTAGTTTCACTTGAGTTGAGTCGAGTTAATTGGGATTATTATTTTTTTTTGGAATTGGTTTGGGTTATACTCGGGTTAGATCATGTTGCTCGATTTGTTCCTGTTAATTTGGGTAAACTGAGTTCGGTCAGGTTAGCTCGAATAGTTCAAGTTGATTTAGGTTAACCCTAGTTAGGTCGGGTAAACCCAGATTATTTAAATTGATTTGGGTCAATCCGAGTTAGGTAACGTTAGGCCGAATTTTTCAAGCTAATTTGGGTTAGCCCTAGTTAGGTTTGGTTAACTCGAATTGTTTAAATTGATTTGAGTTGAGCAAAGTTAAGTCAGGTTAGCCGGATGGTTCAATTTGATTTTAGTTAACTTGAGTTAGGTTGTGTTGACCTAGTTTGTTTAAATTCATTTGGGTTAACCCGAGTTAGATCGGGCTATTGGATGACTCAAGTTGATTTGGGTTAACCCGAGTTAGGTTAAGTTAACCCGGTTGGTTCAAGTTATTTTGGGTTAACCAGTTAGGTCGGGTTGGCCCGCATTGTTTGTGCTAATTTGGGTTTACCCGAGTTATGTCGGGTTAGTCCAGATTATTCAAGTTGATTCAAGTTAGGTCGGGTTGTCCCAGATTGCTCAAATTGATTTGGGTTAATCCGAGTTGGGTTGAGTTATCCATATTTTTAAAATTGATTTGGGTTAACCCGAGTTAGGTCGGGTTAGCCTGGATGATTCAAGTTGATTCTAGTTAACCCGAGTTTGGTCTAAGTTGGGTTAGACCTAGAATGGTTTGGGTTATGTTAGGTCTAAGTTGAGTTTAGACCTAAGATGGTTTAGATTGTGCAGGTTTAAGTTTGGGTTAGATCTAGTAAGGCTTAGATTATGTTAATTCTAAGTTGGGGTTAGACCTAGGATGGCTTAGGTTTAACTAGGTTTAAGTTTGGTTAGACCTAGTAAGGTTTAGATTGTGCAAGGTCTCAATTGAGTTAGACCTATGATGGGCTCTTGGCTTGAGTTAAGTTGAGTTAGATCCAAGTAGGGCTAGACCTATACCTAACCTTGGTTTAAGTTGAGCCAGACTAGGTTTGACTTGGGTCAGTACTAAGTTAACCTTAGTTGAAATGAACTAAGTTCATTAGGGCCAGGTCTGGTCAGGGATAGGACTAGAACCAAATTTGATCGGGTTAAGTCTAATTTAGGCAAGACTTAGACTTACCATGGGTGATCTCGTAATTAGAGCGGATAATTATGATAACAGCCCCCAAGGTTTCATTAGGTTAGGGTACCTAGGCTAATTTTCAAATTTGAAGGAACTTGTACTAAAATGTAAAATTTTAAAATTTACATATTTTCCCTTAAATTTCTAATTTGATTTTAAGTTTTGAAAGGTTAAAATTATCTTGGGGTTTAGAGTTACTGCCCTAAATTTTCTTTTTAGTTTCCATTTTAATTTACATTTTTTTTTCTTTTTTTTAGTTCACTTCATATAATTTTTTTTTCAAAATAAATATAGTTTTATTAGAACAATTTTAATGTTAGAGAGGTTCCTTGACTTTGGAAAATTTTGAGAATATTTCCAAGGGTAGAGGGAAGCATCCCTGAAAATTTTATATTTTTCTTCCTTTTATGTAACTTTTAATATTAAAAATATTCTATGGAGTGTTTAATTAATTAAATATTAATCATTATTTAATTATAAGTTAAATATTTTTATTTTTATTTTCACTATTTTATTCTTTGTCTCCTGAATCCAGAAGTATTTTTAATTTTTTTTTTGTCATTTTTATTTAAAGAGAAATGCATTTTTAAATTTTTGTTTGATTTTATGAATTTAATTAATTCTAAAAACCTGAATTTCTTACCTCTCTCTCTCTCTCTCTCTCTCTCTCTCTCTCTCTCTCTCTCTCTCTCTCTCTCTCTCTCTCTCTCTCTCTCTCTCTCTCTCTCTCTCTCTCTCTCTCCCTCCTCCCCTACACTCTATTCTTTGAGATGTGATTTACAAAAAAACTGGGAGAAAATCAGAACTAAACATTAGAGGTTGCATGCGCTGCCTCTGTCATCCACCTGAACACATCATGTTGCATCATCCGGTTGACAGTCATATGATTAGAGTTCTGGTGGATAGAAAATTGACACTTCTTTAACTCCTTAGCCCCCTTCAGTACCTGAACCAACACTCTTCTTCAACTTGGGAGGCGGGCTTACTACTGCGTAAAAAAATTATTGTGTCTCCACTTATCACGTTATTTGTCCGAATGTGTGCTAAATTTCTGTATTATGCTAAAACTCTAAATAATTACTCGAAATCTATTGCAATGAATCTTCTGAAACACATCAAAAATAAAAATCATATACACTAATGATATGATTATTTAAATTAACTTTTTATAGGGTTGATAATTTTAAAGTACCATTATATTTGATAATAAATGTTTATGCATAAAATAAGGGAATTTTAAATGCCGTTGCATTTAGATTTTCAAATATTTGGTAGCTTTTAAATTAGCTAATTATCGTTACTATAAGAAAAAAAAAACCACATTATTTAATCTTTTATATAAAATAAGTTTTTTCATATTAATATTTCCCTCTTTAAAATCTCCAAGAAATTAAAATAGCAAGTGTACGTGTCATAACTTCATAGTAATGAAGTATTTTATTGATAAAAGATTATGCTAATTTCCTTATCGTATTTAAACATATTTATTATTAATGATACAATACACATATTAAAAAACTTATCTTATGTTCTTAATAATATAAGATGCACGTTTACATTTTAACTTTTTAAATCCCTGTCTCTTATTTTTAATTATTTTATTTCTAAATATAAACAATAAATAAATATATATATATATATATACATAGAACATATGAACACCATATACAACATTATAGATACAATTACGTGTAATAATATGGTTTACACGCAAACATACAAACAACGCACCAAACAGTTACAGTGCTGTGCGCTCTCTTTCCGCCCCCATGCCCGAATCCTTTGCCTCTGTTTTGCAGCATTCAGCATTTATATCTCCTTAGTCTTTTATCAGACATCTCTCTCTCTCTCTCTCTTGATCAGTCTCCGATGTAGATGCTCTGAGATCAATGAGTGAGAGAAGAAGGCTGTCAAGGCGGATGAAACAGTGGACCCCCGAGGAGGATGAAGTCCTCCGCATGTACGTAGCAGCGAATGGAGAATACGATTGGCGCGGCACGGAGAGGCTTCTTAAACGTTCCAGAATGGGTTGCCGTCAACGGTGGAGGTATAATCTCCGATCTACCGTCACCCAACACCCTTTAACCGATGAGGAGAAAACGGTAATATGGCAGCTTTACGAGAATTTGGGTGCCAGATTCGATACTATAAGAAGACGTGTGAGTCTTTTGTTTATTAATTTGGAACAAATATTACCTATCATTTATTATCTAATATGTCTCTGTTTTTTTGGTTTTATTTGTTTTCAACTAATTTATGATTGATTGTAGACTCAGGGTGATGATCGCTTTCCTGTAGTGAGAACGGAGTTTGACATAAGAAGTTATGTCGAGCAAGAATTATTAGAGCGAGTGCTGGGTCATGGACCTATTCCAAATGATGTTAATGATAATGGTGAGCTCATTATTGATCGAAATAATGAAGAGGCTGCTGTTTCTCCTTCCCTGGCAAGGAACATTGATGTTAATGCTCCGGCGCCCACAAATGACACCCCAGATTGATTAACACTCTCATGTTTTCTTCTTCCTATTTCATATATATATATATATATAAACTTTTTTTTTAATTTATTGGGACAAGGTGACCACTCAAATTTGACACCTTGAATCTCTTCATTTTATTTCTAATTAATATACTTGCACATCGGAGCATTGAGTTGTTCTATTTGTTAAAAGCTTTTCTCTTTTGGTTCTTTGTGGCTTCTTTTTTTTTTTAGTTTTATTTCTCTTCACATCGAATGCATATGCTTTTTCTTTGGGACAAGATAAAATATTTTGGCCTAATTGTTGTGTTAATCTAGTTGTCTCTAGAAATTGTTAATTGTATTTTTGCACATTTTTCATGTGGATTAGGAAGTTTTGAAAACCGTTTTGTGGTTAGGTGGTTAGGAAAACCGTTGAGTGGTTAGTTAGTTTTATTTTCAGAAAAATGTGATGTATTTGCTTATAAATTAAACCAGAAAATGTAGAGGGTGTGAACTACTAAAATAAAATTCCTCCATTTTTGTTGGCGTTTAAAAGTTTGGTTTTGGAAAACCAACATGATGTAAGTCCCTCGGGCTAGGGGTTCAATCCCTACGTAGAATCGAATTGCACGCCTTCTGGAAGGGGGGTCCGCCCCTCGGTCAGACTTCGACGATGAACCTTTTCAAATATATATATATATATATGTGTGTGTACGT